AGTGTATGCAGAATGTGGTGATAATTACTTCCCTCTTGCTGTACCATCACCACCATGGTAAATATCAGATCTTTACTAGCATGAGGGTAGGCACTGTTATATAATTACAATTAATTGTAGCAAATCAGAGATGTGTTTAATTATCAAGAGATACGGCTGAGGTGTGTCTCAAAAGAATCCATGTATCGAAATCCTCAGTGCCTCAGAATGTGACTGTACATAGAGAGGGTCTTAAAGAGAATTTAGGCTACAGTCTGATGGCGTAGTTCTGCAGCTGCATCGGAACACTTGCTAATCATGTGTAAGGCTCTTAGTTTGAGCCTCAGCACCATAGTAAGTAAATAAAGCAGAAGCAATGGAGTTGAAACAGGTCATTAGACTCAGTTCTAATGTAATATGACTGTTCTTCTCATAGGAAAGAAAATTAGGTCACAATGGGTACAGAGGAATACCAGGTGCAGGCACATTAAGACTTTGTCTACAGGCCAAGGACAGAAGTCATAGAAAACCCTAACCCTGCTGACACACTAATGGTGACATGGAGGCTAACCTTGCTGACACACTAATGGTGACAGGGAGGCTAACCTTGCTGACACACTCATGGTGACAGGGAGCCTAACCTTGCTGACACACTCATGGTGACAGGGAGCCTAACCTTGCTGACACACTCATGGTGACAGGGAGCCTAACCCTGCTGACACACTCATGGTGACAGGGAGCCTAACCCTGCTGACACACTAATGGTGACATGGAGACTAACCTTGCTGACACACTCATGGTGACAGGGAGCCTAACCTTGATGACACACTCATGGTGACAGGGAGCCTAACCCTGCTGACACACTGATAGTGACAGGGTATCTAACCCTGCTGACACACTCATGGTGACAAGGTATCTAACCCTACTGACACACTCTTGGTGACATGAAGCCTAATCTTTCTGACACACTCATGGTGACGGGAGGGGAGGGGGCTAACCCTGCTGACACACTGATGGTGACAGGGCACCTAACCCTGCTGACACACTCATGGTGACAGGGTATCTAACCATGATGACACACTCATGGTGACAGGGTATCTAACCATGATGACACACTCATGGTGACAGGTTATCTAACCATGATGACACACTCATGGTGACAGGGAGGCTAATACTGCTGATGAACTCATGGTGACAGGGAGCCTCTAGAACCATGAGAACCTCTGATGCTTCAGCCTCCCAGGCTATGTGGCTCCTGTTGAGGCAATCCTAAGAGTCTAACGTTCCAAGTGTCTTCCCCTTCCTTAGTTCACTCTACACTCACAGGAGTTGTGAATGTCACTCAGATCAGTTGTATAGCACCCCAATTACATATATGGAAACTGCAGTTTCAGAGGTGTTTAATGCCATCTCTGATATCAACATCCAGGGAGCAGAAGAAAGATGCTGACTGAAATCTTGACTCTCGATCCCATGCATTTTCCTATTTCTAGAATGATGGAAGAGAAGAGCTCTGGCTTTGCTGGCACTGTGCCCTCAACCAGTTATAGGGTCTTCAAAAAGACTGTGTTTGTTTAGTATCTCCATTGCAAAATCTAAAAAAAAAAAAATGAGGTTTACACTGAAATAAGGGCCTATGTGAGAGCAATTCTAGTCTCAAGGCTTTAGCTCAAATCTTTTTTTTTAATTGAACTATAAAAGATGGTCTCTGTAGATTCTTTTAAAAGCAGAAGCAAATGCAATTATTTTTGAGTCACTAGCCCAGAGAATCCAAGCCTCTGCTAAAAGAAATGTATACACTTCAAAATACTTTTAGATATGGTGAGGATAATTCATTTTAAAAGTTACTTTCTAGACCTTCCATCCCACAGACTCTTTCCTGTTGAAAATCCCTCTGTTCAGTTTTTTTTAACAATTGCATATGGATTTGTGAGCAAAACACAGAACTGAATTTTCCTAAGAGAAAACTCAAATTTTAGTTTTTAACTTCTCAGTAACTAGATAATCGAGTAGAGGTGGAGTCTAGACATTTGTATGAAAAATGAGGTGAGTGGATTCCTGTTTGTCTGCCTAACAGGAAAGTTTGTCACTAAATAAAAAGTACTTCTGGAGTGTCTTTAAACTCTTTGGAGGAAACTTGCTGCACGAGCATACACACACACACACACACACACATATATATATATATATATGTATATATATATATATATATATACTGTGTATACTGTATGTATATATACTGTGTATATATATACACACTCACACACACATACACATACATACACACACACTCACACATAGACACACATATACACACTCACACATACATATACTCATACACACACATACACACACGCATACACACACTCACACACACACACTCATACACACACACACCAGCAGTCCAATTATTAGCCCACAATCTTAACTCTTCAATAACTTCTCCCAGTTTGAAATAGTCCATGGGTGGATGGTTTGTGTTTTTTATACCTGTAGTTAAAGCATCTTTTTTAAAAGAGGGAGCATAGAGTAGAAGGTAATGAGTACGCTAGTCAAGCATGGCCATCTGTGTGAGAGGATAAGAAGGGGTAGAATTGTGAGTCGTCATTTTTAAGCTAAATAAATGCAATCTGCCTGAGAGGGAGGAAATGAATATCTAGAAACCACAACTTCCATCCAATCACATAAAGACAAATCAACCTTCGGACAAATCAAATGTCTTCATTTAAAGCTTACCTGGATTTGGCACACTGCCCAGCTTTTACAAAACTACTGACAATAATACTTTCACCAATCGTTCCTTTATAAAAAAAAAAAGAAAGAAAAAAAGAAAAAGGAAGGAGAAGAAGTAAAAAGCTTTTGCTATGATTGCTTTAAAAAAAAAATCAAGACCCACATCAACAACAACAAAACTAAAGACCTTTTTAACCCAGAAGAGACAATTGCTTGGCAGGAGGAAAGTTTGCCTGTGAGTTAGCAGCTTGAGGAAACAGGATTAGTGGGTGGGATTGGGATGTGCTCTGCCCATAAATAGAGGCTCAGGGCTCTTCTGGCACATTCAGAAGCTTGGACGGCAACCCGGGCAGCTCACACAAAGCAGGAGGGTGGGGAGCCCAGGTAAGACAACTGACAATCAATTTGGCGGTGCACTTGCTAGAGAAAGCTATGGCCTCTGATTGCTTGCACAGTTGCAGGCAGCAACTGACAAGCTCAAAGCAAGGCTCCCAGGGCAGGAAGCAGGCTCTGGAGAGAGTCTCACCTAAGCGGCAGAAGCTTGCCCTTACTTTGGCTAAAAGTAGTGGAGAATGCCATTCCTGTCTAGGTTCAGTGTGATGCTTTGCCCCTCAGGAAACTGGAGGTTCGAGAGTCAGTGGGTGAACTCACGAGTTTTCAAACCTGTGTTAGGGTACAGAAAATTCCGTGTCCATCTCTCCAAATGCCAAGGGCTCTGGACTGTGAAACCTCAGCTCATATTACCCCCTGGGAATATTTCTTGCAAATCAGGAAACAGTTTTCTTTATGCTTCTGCAGTTTTCAAGACTGTCAGAGGGGAGAGCTGGCACTTTCTGAAGTAACAGCAACAGAGTCACTGAAACTTCCAGCAAGGACATTCATTAACACGAGATGGCAATGGAGTGACAGTAAAATGCTAGGTGTCGCTGGCTTATAAGCTTAAGTTGTAATTGCAGACTTTCAGAAGATGAAAATCATTATTAGCATTCCTGCATCCATACGAATGTAGAAACGTATGACACTGTGTTACTGCTTTAGCCTGTATCTTTTCTGAGCCTCTGTGTGGCCGTACATTGTGACTTGGATAACTGTTGGTCAGTTAATTTAAGGCATCACTTGGGTTGGTGACTGACTTCTTTTTACTACTCTAACGTCTAGCAAAGGTTCTCATTTGGGCTCACAGTCTATGAGGCTCTTCTCTCTCCTAAGCACTTACACCATGACACTCTACCTGCTTCCTTGGTAGAGTCTATTTGACTTAATGAAGAACGATACCAATACTACAGATGGACCCTCTAGTTCTGCATTGCTTTCTGGGCACCATTAGAATTTGGCATTACCAGATTCGAAGTCTTCAGTAGCCCAAGGTACAGACCATACGTACTTTGAGTGACATGAAACACAACCTGCTTGGCCTTCCTTCCTGCACTCATGCATTCTGTCTTGTCATTTAGAGCCCTACTCATGGTCATCTGCTGCAGCTTTTCCTAGTAATTAACTGTCCAATAGCAAAGGAGGAGAAAGGGAACTTAACACAGAAACATCCTGGGTTTTATTCTCCATGTCATGTTCATCACAGACTACATCTGTGTACTGGAGTGTATGCCTTCCCCTGCCACACAGGCCCAGACAAGGGCAAAGAATGTTCATTTTATGTGCCTTGATCAGTTCACAGCTAACACTGTTTGAGCAGATCCTCAATAGAGAAAAGGAACGAGTCTCCAGAGAAGAAGCCAGCATTCTGTAAATGAAGTAAGATGTGGTCATGTTATTGACATCCATTCTTTAAGGCAAGCTGTCGCTTCCATTGTAAGGGTGAATGTTCAGGAAAAGAGACGGGAGTTAACACTTTTGCTCTGAACTCATCCCCAAAATCTTTTCATCTCTCTGAACTTTAGAGTCTTCATCTACACAGTGAGAAAGGGGGGAAAGAGGTACCCCAAATTACCTACCATTACTATGCTTTTTAGTATAACTTTTAAATGTGCATTTCCCTAGCAGCCAAATATATGCGTCTACCTAGTTATATATTTCCTTAAAAAATATGTGTTATTCTACTGTAAGATAAGATACAACAAATATTATGTATTCACTGATAGAGAAAGTGAAGACAGTGAAGGCAGATAGACAATGGCTGGACACCTCAATAAGCATTCCTGGGAAACTCCTCCTCCTGTCCACTCCTGTCCCATCTTATCTCAGCGTAACCCGGTTCCCGCTGCTTTCCACTGTTGTGATACACTCTGTAGAGTCTAATTCCTTCCTGTTTATTTCCCGTGTAGATTGCCATGGAGAAAATTTCAGTGTCAGCATTCCTGCTTCTTGTGGCCCTCTCCTATACCCTGGCCAAAGATACCACAGTCAAACCTGGAGCCAAAAAGGACCCAAAGGACTCCCGGCCCAAACTGCCCCAGACCCTCTCCAGAGGTAGGTGTCAACTTTTTGCTGGCTCCCAGCTGCAACTTAATTCATAAAGGTATTAAATGTGTCTGCTGAAGATATTTGTGGATTTTTTTTTTCTAGATTTAGCATAGTTAATAATCAGGTCTTCCCGCTCCGGAGGCTTTTGTTCTTTAGTACTAAGTACATATTATCTGGGTTTTTACCATCACTTTTCAACAGGCTTGAGCCTGAAACTGTGGTGGATTTAAAGATACCAACTCCTTTTGTTCTAGGTTGGGGCGATCAGCTCATCTGGACTCAGACATATGAAGAAGCCTTATACAAATCCAAGACCAGGTAAGGCCGGTTACATGAAGCTCCTGGAGTCTCTCATGAGCGCCATCTAGTGGTGACTATCAGGTGTTCATGGCATCCTAATAAACATCCCATAATGTCTTCTCTCTCGCAGCAACAGACCCTTGATGATCATTCATCACTTGGACGAATGCCCACACAGTCAAGGTACTCTGTTCTCCTAAATTTCTTTTAGAAGCTTTTGTGTCGGGTCAGGGTTTGGATCACTCATCTTTACGTACCTAGGACCTAGCACTGTTTAAACAAGAAAGAATATCTTAAAACATTTAAAAAGACATTTGGATGTTTCCATGTTTTGAATTAACTATTGTTGCATATTTTGAGTATGAAATGCTGTGGATGGGGGTGCTGGAGAGATGGCTCGGCGGTTAAGAAATGCTGGGGTTCATCGATTAACTTCTTCCATCTTTTTCATGCGATATATCAACAAATACCATTGGATTTACTGTTAAAAGATATCTCCAGTCAGCACTAGCTTCCCACACATGCAACCTGCCCACTTGTTCAGGCTCCCCATGTTTGGTGCAATATACTCAATGCTGTCTTCACTTAATAATTCTAGCATGAGGGGCTCTGTATTTTCATTTCCCGCTGGTCTTTGTATATTAGGTAGCTCTTCTTGCCCAAATCCAAATGCCTTCTATTACCTCAATGCTACCACCTTAATCCAAGCCAACATGGCACCTTGTCCACCATACCAAACCTATCACCACTGACTACAGCAGTCAGCCCTCTACACAGAAGCCAGACTGAAGCTGTTCAATACAACTCAGATCCTTCACTCGTGTGCCCCGGGTGGCTTCTCATCACAAGAAAATTTAAAGCCTGATTCCTGGAATCCATCCAGCCGGAGCTTGGTTTCCCTTTCCTGTCAAGATCACATATTCCCACTTTATCCAGCCTGCCTTCATACAGCTCATCCCTATTAACCAAGGCTTTATAGCAACCTGTCCCCAATGGTCTGGACACTCTCTGACCTCAGAGTCACCTCCTAAAAGAGATGTGCCAAGACAAATTAGTAGCTCTTTAAGCCTTCACCTCACTTTATTTGTCCCCTGTGTATGTATAACTATATGAAATTACATATGTAGTATGCATTGGTTTATGCTGTGGTTCCCACACAAGCATCTGACCTCTGGAAGTGTGCTTTTCTGTTCAAGGTATTTTCCCTAGTGTATAAAATCATGTCTGCCAAAACATAGTTACTCAGTAACATCACAAATCATTTGCTGGAGGGGCAACGTAGGCATTGTATTTAAAACACTTTTCAACTTAAAAGAAAAGAGAAAGCAAAAGTCCTAATCAAAACTGAGATAAAGCACAATTGCTTTTTTTCTTATATTACAGCTTTAAAGAAAGTGTTTGCTGAAAATAAGGAAATCCAGAAATTGGCAGAGCAGTTTGTTCTCCTCAACCTGGTTGTAAGTTCCCCTCATCATCACCCATGTCTCCTCTGGCTTCAACGTCTGATTCGCCCTTTCTGTGCATCTCAGTCATGCTGCATTAACTAGAATCTCATCCCAGTATCCCATCGTACAGCTGAGAAACCCACAATCTTTTACTTTATTAATAATCTTATTTTGAAATTTTGCATTACTGGCATTGGGGCCAGCACCTGGCACATGCCAAGGAACATTCTGCCACTGAGTCATGTCCTCCACCTCTTTCTTAGTAATTTATGTGGCACACATGTTTTATTGTAATTAATAATCTTATCTGAAAAATATTCTTTAATGGTCAGGATCTCTGTGCTGCTATAGTAACCGGTTTTCGGTATTTTTGCAAATCACTGCCTTTGCCCATCTCCTTCGAGTCCTGGCTCACAAATCCCTGTAACTTCTTTCTCTCCATGGGCGAGAGCTCTGGTTGTCCAGATCTTCCCATGCGTCCTGGACTTTCGCTTCAGGAGGAATCCTGTCTCACTTCTCCATCACCAACCCTCCCGCCTTAGCCAGGCTTCCACTCTCTAACAAACGGTCCAATCACAGCTCCTCCAAGTCTTCCTCCTTGAGTTGTTTGGTTCTTTTTGAGTATCACATCCCTTCGCTTCTTGCCTCCTGCCCTGTATCACAGGCTGCTCTTTCTGCTCTGTGACACGTGTCTTCTCATCTGTGTTGTGAACTTTTGCAGAGAGGTTCCCTGGCAGTACCTTAGGCCCATGGTACACTGAGAGACACAGTCTCTTTTCTGATTAGCTTTTTAAATTAGTTTTAAATGTAATGGGTTCCACTATGGCACTTTCATATGCACTTTGTTTTTGCGCCTCTACCCCGACTAGTCTCTTTGCTAATCCCTAGAGCCCTACTTCTGTTTATATACTCTATAACCCTTTTCCAGTCCCCCAACCCTCTCTTAATTGTTTCACCACTCATGGTGAGTGCCCTTTCTAGTTCCAGAAAGATTTAACAGACACTTTTTTGCATTGGTAAGTTTGAAAATACCTAAAGAATAACATACAGCTGTTTTTCTTTTGTTTTGTTTTTTGATCACAGTATGAAACAACAGATAAGCATCTTTCTCCTGATGGCCAATATGTCCCCAGAATTCTGTTTGTGGGTAAGTGGAGGTTCCAGTGACACAAGACACACTGAAGATTCTGCAACTGCAGCCATAGCTTGTCTCCCCCAACATCACACCTCCCCACCCATACCTCACCAGCCACATCATTGTGAGGTCACCGACCCCTAGCAAGGAGCATGGGATTCTGGGCAGGATAACGCTAAGTGTCACATACACTTTCATCAGAAAGTGTGAACTATTATCTCCACAAACACTTCTCTCCCCTGTTCATTTTAACTCCCATCCTATGCTCCAAGCACATCTAGAAAGATAGGGCCATGTTTTCACCATCGGCTACCAATTACTCAGCTTTTACTTGGTCCTTATGTATTAACATGGCAGAGCTACGTGTTTCTGCTCTCCATATAAGCCCAGTGTGATCCTGTGATAAGTTCTCAATAAGTGTTCATTGAATGGCATCACAAATATATGACGTTTGGCTTTAACCAGTCATAGTCACTTAAATTGTAAGTAAGCCCACTACCTAGCAGAGCTCATCAAATGGGCATCCCGGGTAATTCATCAAAGCTTGCATTAAAAGTAAAAGACAGCACCGTGGAGCTAAGCTGTCAATGTTCCCTGAACTGCTCTGCCCTACTCCGGTGGTAACTCCCGAAAAGAGACGAGGTGGAGCAAGGACACAACAGCTTCAAAACACAATAGGGGCTCCCTGGAAGCAGAAGTGTTCCATCTTCATTCTATTTTTGCAGACCCATCCCTGACAGTGAGAGCGGACATCACTGGAAGATACTCAAACCGTCTCTACGCTTACGAACCTTCCGACACGGCTCTGTGTAAGTGTTGCCTCCAGCTCGGTCGGAGATCCCTGTTGCTATAGTGATGGGGAGAGACCCCGACTGAGATGGGCTAGACCTCTCTCTGTCCTGGGGTACCTGAGAACCAGTTTGACCTGTCCGCAAATCACATGCTTCACTCCACGTTGTAAACATCTCAGTGAAGGATGAATCGTTCAGTTGAGCTATCGGCCTCTCCAGGAGAAACTATCAGCACAGTCTGCCCCTCAACTTCTCTCCCTGCACAAGAGCCCACAAACCCTTCTGTCACAGAACTGCCGCAGAAGTCACCATAGGCTTGCTTCGCCGCCCCCCGCCCCAATTAATGAGAAGGGAAATAATTTAGTCCATGTTGCTGTGGTTAAACTCAGGTTCACCTTTGAGATCGTGGGCAAATGACCTGGAGAGTGGCTAACTCACTTTCTTGGCTGCCAAACGTGAGGGGGAGGGGAAAGATGAGGGAGAGGGGTTGACTTGAGGCAGATGAGGCCAACAATTCAAGAATATATGAGTTGTGACACTAGTTCTTCTGGGAAGACATTGGGTTTTTGTCCTAGGACCAGGTCTAGTCACTTGCAGTGGCTCCTAGAACCTCCCTGTGCGAATCTTAGGCATAACCCATACGCAGCTTGGTTTTGGAGTCACACCGGCCCCATTACTCTGCATGCACACTGGCGGTATGTTCATCCTCACAGAACTTTCTGTTAGATGGTCATTAGACTTAGGATAGTCATTACACGGGGTGGGGGTGGGGGAGCCTGGACCTAGAGAATGTGAGCACTCCCACAGCTCATTAGCAATGTCTCCAGTACAAAGGGCAGCATGTTCCAAGCGTGGGCATTTATGAGTCTCGGGGCTTGCTTTCATAAAGTGGAACTCATTAAGGGCAGATACCCAGACAGATAAGATCACCATGCCTTCCCTGTTGAATAATTACTTGTAGAAGTGAATAGTAGCCACTCAGAACATCCCCCAGATACCTTGCTCCATTTTATCAGGCGCTACTGAAGGGATAATGATCTCAAGTTTGGGCTCTGAAGCAGCAGTCTCATTACTTGTCCACTGTGTGACTTAAGTAAACAACCCAGCCTCTCTGAGCCTGTCCCATTGTGAAGTACAAAGTTTTTGTGGGGATGGGAGAATTCATCTGTACAAAAACCATTGGCAGGCTGACAGTCCTCATTTGGTATGCCACAGACTTCTAAAATAACTTGCAGTAGTTGCCCACACCTGCTAACATTTTTCATGAGCATAATTTAAAATCTGCTTTTAAGTCAGCTGTGGTGGTCCATGCCTTTAATCCCAGCACCCAAAGGGAGATCTCTGTGAGTTTAAGGCCATCCTAACCTACACATCAACTTCTGGACCAGCCAGAAGTACATGGTGGGCCTCTGTCCCGATAACTAATTAAATTAAAATTAAATTTGCTTCTACACTAACCAAAACAGTTTTCTGACACAGAGTTTGTGCAGCTCTGGGAAGAAGAAACTGAAAGAAGAACTACTAAAGAACTAAGAACACTGAGAACTGGGTTGCCAACGTTTTACTCCACTATAGAGAGAAAAGTAACAATAAGATTACCAACTATTCCCACTAAGACAATAGGACACACTCCTGTCAAACAATAGACCCAGTCCCCAAGTGCCTGGGTTTATTGTACCACCAGTGTCTGTCTCAGTTACTTTTCTATAGTTATAAAGAAGCACCATGGCCAAGGACACTTACTGTCAAAGAAAGAGTTTATTGGGGCTTGCTTACAGTTTCAGAGGGTGGGAACATGGCAGCAGGCAGGCAGGCATGGTGCTGGAGCAGCAGCTAAGCACCCACATCTGATTCATAAGCAGGAGTCAGAGAGAGAGAGAAAGAATGGGCTTGGTCTGAGGTTTTGGAACTCAAAGCCTTCCTGGCCCCAGGGATAAATCTCCAACAAGGCCACACCTCCTAATCCTTCCCAAACGGTTCCTCCAACTAGGGACCAAGCATTCAAATATTTGAGCCTCGGGGGGGGGGGGGGGGG